TTTTTTTTTTTAATTAATCTGTATAAATTACAATATTAAATAATTGAATATCAATTTCATACTAAATTTATTTATTATAATTAATATTTATTCATATATTATATTTTAAAATCAAAGAACTACTAATCAGGATATAATCAAAGAAATAAGAGTTGATGTTGTTTTTGTAATTATCCATCAATTTCTTAAAATTAAATGCTATCAACAGATTTGCATCGAAGCGTTTTAATCACTGTCAGATATCGTCTATACTTGTCCCAACTATGCCTCGTCCATTTTGTGCCGCAACCCTAATGTTCTACCATTTTGAAATAATACTTCAAAAGTTATTAACATTTTTTAATATAGAATGGAGGAAGAGCGCGGCAAAGTAATGCGTAATGATAAAAATAATAACCCACACTTCACTACCATTCTACTTTTATCTTAAGGTTAATTGTATATAAGACGATTTATTCTGTTTTAATTATTTTGTGAAACATTATTTTCATTCATTTATTTGATCTGTTTTATGAGAATACAATTTTTACATTGAGTTCTTCTGAGAAGTTAATTTTAGTGTACAAGTATAATACTGGAATATGTGACAGTTAAAATACCAAAATTATAATTTGTAAAACTTAACTTTAATATTTTTCTGTACACAGTATTATACTATACTTTGTATTTTTAAATAATATAAATATATCTAAAATACTTAGAAAAAATATTTCTAGTATCAAAGAAATACAACAAAGCAAAGTACTTATACGAATACATTTATTTTACAAAAAAATATTTATTAATTCTGACAATTAACATTTGCTGATTGATAGGGTAGCAATTAAATTAACTAAAAAACGAATAAAGAACAATTAAAATAGAAAAGAAAACAAATAATAGCATAAATTAACTTAAATATTAAATCACTTCTATTTTAGAAATGTACAAATTTAACATTATGAAAAAACTATTGAAATATTCATGTATATAATACATACTTGTGTTTTATAATAAAAATGTAAATGTAAAAATAAAAAAATTGTTTGAACTGTCAAAAAAAAAAAAAAA